AGGTGCTTTGTAGTGACCTCAAACTATTGACTAAGAGAGTTTTGTAGAGATCACTTTAGCATCCTCAGTTGTGTAAACATTATAGGTAAGGATTGGGAGGAAGTGACTAAGAGGACCTTGAACTCTGCTTGGAAGAAACTGGCCAGAATGTGTAGACAAAAGGGATTTTGAAGGATTTGAGGCTAACCCTGAGAAGCCTATGCCAGTTGTGGAATCAATTGTGGCATTGGGGAAGTCCTTGGGGTTGGAGGTTCGTGGGGAGGATGTGAAAGAGTTGGTGGAGGACAATGAAGAACTAACCACTGATGAGCTGCAAGATCATCTTCAACAGCAAAAGCCAGACCTGAATAAACTGCTCCAGAGGGGGATAGAGAAATTGAGGAAGTTGCCTACTTCAAAGATAAAGGAAATGTGTGCAAAGTGGCTTGAAGTGCAAACCTTTTTTGATGAAAATCACCCTCACACAGCTATTGCAAGCCGTGCTGGTGACTATTACACTGACAATGTTGTGAACCACTTTAGGAAAGTCATAAAGGAACGGGAGGTACAGGCCTCTATGGACAGATATGTTGTGGGACAGAGGTCCAGTGACTCAAGCTGGTCCTAGTGGCATTAATTAAAAGAAGGGAAGTAACCCCGGAAAAGGACTTGCCACCTCAAGTCCTAATGGAAGGGGATTCCCCTTCTAAACATTAACACCATCCACACACTCCCCTCCTCCCATTCCCATCAATCATCACCAGATCTTCAATAAAGGTGTCATGTAATTGTATGTCTTCTTCAGTTTGTGTGTATTAAAATTAATATTTCATGTAAATTTTTTTTTTTTCATACTTTGGGGTGTCAGGAACGGATTAATTTGATTTCCATTATTTCTTATGGGGAAAATTAATTCGGCTAACGATAATTTCGCCTAACGTTGAGCTCTCAGGAATGGATTAATATCGTTAAGCAAGGGTCCACTCTACTAGGGTTATGGACACTCCGAGCTTCAGAACCTTGCATTTACCTACACTGAACTGCATCTGCCACTTTTCTGACCAGGAATCGAGTTCGTCTAAATCCTCCTGAAGTTCCGTGACATCTAAGTTTGAATCAATTATCCTACCTGTTTGTGTCATCGGCGAATTTGCTCATATCACTAGTAATTCCCTCATCAAGGTCATTGATATACACCTACCATCCGACTTACGACCACTCAACTTACGACCGTGTTTTTTATGCCAAATTTCTGGGAAATAAACAACTATTTGTGTTGTACACAGTGTTTATCCTAAACCTTGTAGTATAAAACACAGTACTAACAACATAAAAAGTAAAGTAAAACATGAAATACCAAAATAAAACAAAATAGTCATTACAAAAATGTTTTGTTGATATTCAGTAGTAAAGTTCAACTTACGACCATTTCGACTTACGACCGGTTTCTCAGAACCAAACTCTGTCGTAAGTCAGATGGTAGGTGTATATTATAAACAGGCCCAAGACTGATCCCTGTGGAACGCCATTGGTTACAGATCTCCACTCGGATTTAACCCCATTTAAGCATACTATCTGCTGCCTATTGGCGAGCTATGACTATCTATGACAGCACTTTTTCCCCAATGCCATGAGCTGCCACTTTAACAGTCTCTGGTGCAGTACTCTATCAAAAGCCTTACTAATATATAAATAAACAATATTGAATTCTTTATCATGATCAACGGCCTCAAAAGTTTTACTGAAGAAGGTTAATAAATTAGTTAGGCAGGAACAGCCCCTCGTGAATCCATGCTGAGTATCATTAATCAAGCAGTGCTTATCGAGATGGCTTCTTATATCATCAGCTGGATAAATTTAGATTTAGAAAGGACATGGGTAAGTACTGGTTTTCTAACAGTTGTGGATGCATGGAACAATGTTCCCAGTAGGGTGATAGAGGCTAGGACCTTGGGTAGCTTTAAGAGGAGACTGGACAAATATACGAGTGGGAGGGGCTGGGTTTGATTGGTGTTTACCTGGAGAGGTTCCGGGGGTCAACGCCCCCGCGGCCCAGTCTGTGACCAGGCCTCCTGGTGGATCAGAGCCTGATCAACAAGGCTGTTGCTGCTGGCTGCACGCAAACCAACGTACGAGCCACAGCCCGGCTGATCCGGAACTGACTTTAGGTGCTTGTCCAGTGCCAGCTTGAAGACTGCCAGGGGTCTGTTGGTAATCCCCCTTATGTGTGCTGGGAGGCAGTTGAACAGTCTCGGGCCCCTGACACTTATTGTATGGTCTCTTAACGTGCTAGTGACACCCCTGCTTTTCATTGGGGGGATGGTGCATCGTCTGCCAAGTCTTTTGCTTTCATAGCGAGTGATTTTCGTGTGCAAGTTCGGTACTAGTCCCTCTAGGATTTTCCAGGTGTATATAATCATGTATCTCTCCCTCCTACGTTCCAGGGAATACAGGTTTAGGAACCTCAAGCGCTCCCAATAATTGAGGTGTTTTATCTCCGTTATGCGCGCCGTGAAAGTTCTCTGTCATTGGGTAAGGGAGTTAATTCTTGGGTAGCTTTGGGTAGAGGTCGTTCTGATAAAGACTTGCCTTGTATGGGCCAGTAGGCCTTCTGCAGTGCTCCTCCGTTGTGTTCTTAAGTGCTTTGAAGTGACCTCAGACACTGAATTGACCCTAAGTGTGTTCTGGAAAGATCACTTCAGTATCCTCCATTGCATAAACCTTATAGGTAAGGCTTGGGAGGGAGTGCCTTGTAGGACTTTGAACTCTGCTTGGAGAAAATTGTGGCCAGAAAGTGCACAAGAAGGATTTTGAAGGGTTTGGGGCTAACCCTGAGGAGCCTATGCCAGTTGTGGAAAGTATTGTGGCATTGGGGAATTCCATGGGGTTGGATGATGCGAGTTTCGGATGTAGAAGAGTTGATGGAGGACCATGATGAAGAGCTAACCACTACAGAGCTGCAAGAGCTTCATACGCAACAGACCACAGTTCAGGAAATTTCTTCAGAGGAAGAGATGGAGAAAGGCACCTTCAAAGATTAAGGACATTTGTGCAATGTGGACAAAATGCAAACATTTATGGATGAACTTCACCCTGACAAAGCTGATGTAGGCTGTGTTGGCAACATGTACAATGACAATGTGGTGTCCCATTTTAGGGATGTTTCAAGGAAATGCCAGAAACAGAGCTCTCTGGACAGTATTTTGTGCAACAGAGGTCCAGTAACAAGCTGGTCCCAGTGCCATTAAAAAAAAAAAAAAGTGAAGTAACCCTAGAAAAGGACTTGGTACCAGAAGTCTTTATGGAAGGGGATTCCCCTTTCAAACAATAGTGTATCTTTTTCCTCTCCCCTCCTCCAGTCTTCCATCCACCCAGAAGTGGTAAGTGTAATATTTTATATAGATACTCGATTTCTCATTGTTTTCTGTATTTATATAAAATAAAAATCTCTAACAACAGAAATCGGGCTCCTGTTAATTAAATTATTTGAGAAAGAATAAAAAAAATATTATATATTTTTGAGTGTCTGAGAAATATATAAGGATTATTTTTAAGGAAAATGGTTTTTGCCATTCATAGATTTAATCTTCAATGGAATTACTGCAACACCAGATTTAATGATAAAGTCCGATCTACCACTGTATATTATTACAATATTCTATTCAAAAGTATATTTATCTATTTTTAAAACATCTATACCTATTATTATTGAGTTAAACCTATACAAAGAATATATTAAGAATTTTAAAGCTATCTACTATGAGTCATCATATTTCATATACTATACACGTATATTATATTTAAATTGGGAAGCTACTGCAAACACCAATTTATTTTTTGGGTTTAAAGCCTATTACTACACGGTCATGATTTATTGGTTTAAAAGCCTACTCATGAAGGTCATGATTTACTGGGTTTAAAGCCTATCTACTACACAAAGGTAAGATTTATTGGGTTTAAACCATCTACTCACGAATTTATTTCTGGGTTTAAAGTATCAACAATGGCCCATGGTTATTGGATTTAAAGCCTATTTACTATAGGTCAATTTATGGTTTAACCATACACTCAAAAGGTCATTTTATTTATTGGGTTTAGAGCCTACTACAAAGGTCATTAATGATTTTTTGGGTTTAAAGCCTATCTACTACACGGTCATGATTTATTGGGTTTAAAGCCTACTTCATGAAGGTCATGATTTACTGGGTTTAAAGCCTATCTACTACACAAAGGTTAAGATTTATTGGGCTTAAAGCCTATCTACTTCACGAACTTCATGATTTGCTGGGTTTAATAATCAAAAAGCGCTAAATCCACTAGGGTATTGGGTTTAAAGCCTATTTACTACATGGTCATTAAGGCTGCATGTAACCTATGCACCACCTGTCAAGAATACTTTTAATGCCTAAAATATTAACCAAAGTCCAGTAATATTCAACAGTGTTTAGCTTTAACTCATCGCAAAATTACCAAAAAGTTCACAAGTCAATTTTTAAATGGGTCAAGCATTATAACCATAAAGAAGCGCTAAACCTACAAGGGTCACACAGCCATTAGGATCTCAAAGGGTCATACCCCCCCCCAAAAAAAAATACAAAATTAGGCTTTTGGAAAATATGAAATTTAAACAGATTCCCGTAACACAAGTCTTGCCAAACACTAGTCTCTCCAACACAGGTCTTGCATCAACTTATTAAAAAATGGCAACTGCAAAAAATTATACTATCAACTTTAAATCGTAGTTTACTAAAATACTAAACATTAAAATCAGAAATTACAAAAAACTTACATATACTGACATTTAAATCTTAGTTTACTAGAATAACTCAAGGCATGCACCATACTAGTATCCATGGTAACAAAGTCGTAAGTGGTAGTGAAAAATGGTAAGGTCATAAAAGTGGTAGTGACAACATTAGTAAAGTGACAAATGGTAAGGTCGTATAAGTGGTAAAGTGGTAGACAAATGGTAAAGGAACAATTAATAACTGATCACTTATGTGATAAACGTTACCACTCACCATAAAGACTAACAGTTACTGCTGAACTCCTCTGCTTCAACTGGAATAAAAATTTCTCGATTATTTAACAGAATTACTTCAGATATGCATATGCACTGTTTATATTACCATGTAAATTCATTATTATAAATAACCAGTAATTTAGGAGAAATAAAGGAAAATATTTCTTACCACAGGAGAGCTTGCCCTCACTCCTCCCGCGCAAAACTCGAGGAGGCGCGCGCCAGTTTGTGGGCTCCTGCACCACCACTACTGTGACGTAGGAGTCTCTGAGCGTTCTCATTGGCTGATCAACAGTGACGTCACGCCTGCTGGGTCTTGGCGCTCGAGCCCGTGACGTCAGGCTAAATCTAGGTTGTAATTAGCTGCTGCTTCCCGCCAACTTAGTAACTTGCGTTTTGATTGCTGGTGATAAGATGGACTCTTGATCCAAGGATTTGGAACAACCTTAACCTAATAAAAACAAATTTATAATGTAGAAATATCTCTCGATGCATATATACAGAGAACAAGTACATATATACACATTGATAACTATATACATAGACATTTCAAGTTTACATCAATCCCCATAGCCTCTGGGGAATGGAATATATCCATGGCATGTGGGGAATGGAATATATCCCCCATACCCCGGGGAACAGAATATATCCCCCATACCCCGGGGAATGGAATATATCCCCCATAGCCCGAGGAATGGAATATATCCCCCATAGCCCGAGGAATGGAATATATCCCCCATAGCCCGAGGAATGGAATATATCCCCCATAGCCCGAGGAATGAATATATCCCCCATAGCCCGAGGAATGGAATATATCCCCATACCCGAGGAATGAATATATCCCCCATAGCCCGAGGAAATGGAATATATCCCCCATAGCCCGGGAATGGAATATATCCCCCATACCCGAGGAAGGAATATATCCCCCATAGCCCGGGAATGGAATATATCCCCATAGCCCGAGGAATGGAATATATCCCCCATAGCCCGAGGAATGGAATATATCCCCCATAGCCCGAGGAATGGAATATATCCCCCATAGCCCGAGGAATGGAATATATCCCCCATAGCCCGAGGAATGAATTATATCCCCCATAGCCCCTGGGGAGTGGAATATATTCATGACTACTGAGAATGGTGGCTCAGATTCCTTGGATCAAGATCCTTTCACCATGGCTATGGTCCAGAAATTTAAAATAATTGACCACTTAAGTGGTAGTGAATGGTAAAGTGACAAGTTACAACTGACCATAAAAGATCACATGTAAGGGGTAAAATGACATTACAACCTAACACCACTTAGTGGTAGTGAGTTACAACCAGTTACTATAATTGGTAGTGACATAACTTACCAATTATTAGTGGTACAGTGGCAAGTTACAGCCACTTATGTAAGTGGTACGTGACAATTGACAACCACTTACGTAGACAAATTACCACTTACCATATTTCACAAAATTATTACTTCAGATATATATTTATATAACCATGTAAAAACAGTGTAAACGACCAGTAATTTTGATGAAACTAGGATAAAATGGTTACCAGAGTGCGCACCCTCCCACGCCACCACCAGCCTGTCATGTAGGAGCTGCTGAACAGTGATTGGCTGATCGACAGTGACATATATATGGGCAAGTGATGTCACGAATACCGATTGGCTGCTGGGTCTTTGCGCTCGAGCCCGTGACGTCATATCTTAACTCTAGACTAATTGGCTGCTGCTTCTGCGAACTTAGTACTTGGCTGTGGCCAGGACAGGTTGAGCTCTTGATCCAAGAATTTGGAGCACCCTTAATAAAAGCAACTATATGTAGAGAAGCCCAGAAATGAGAATATTTTATATATATTCTGAATATCTCAAAGTATATACACCGAGAACAAGTATATATAAATTGGTGTATATATATAAATATTTCGTGTATATATACACTAGACCCTCGTGTGGTAGACAGTTTTGAAACTACCATTAACCATTTGGGACTAAGTGACCCGGTTTTGAGCTTCCTAGCGCGCGTTTTACACATTGGCGACAAGAACGCAAGAGTTAATGGCGCCAATTGAGCGCACATGCTGCGCCGTGGCATTTATGGGAAAGCGCTAAACCCGATGGGGTCATACAGCGCCTGGGGAATGGAAGTCACTACTGGAAATAGTGGTTCAGATTCCTTGGATCAAGATGCTTCCCGTCAAGGTGATATTAAAGGCCACTTCCAGAAAATATAAAAAAAACTAACGATCACTTATTTAGGTGACAGCGTAAAAGTTAAATTATAATTGACCACATACAAGTGGTCTTGTGATGCCATACTAAACCACTTAATTGGTGATAAATTACAAAACCATACACGGCCACTTAGTTGACATAAGTGGCAAGTTACAACCATAAACGACTATTAAGTGGTAAAACATGAGTTACTACACATCTCTTACAATTTGTAGACATAACTTGCCATTTAGTGCCAGTGACAACTTATATAAGTGGTACATGACAATTTACAACTACTAAAGTGGTGACATTAAGTTACCATATTTTGCAGTATTACTACTTCAGATATATACACTATATTACCATGTAAAAACAGTGAATGACAAGTAAATTAGGAGAAATATGGGGAAAATTCTTACCAGAGGAGCGCGCGCTGACGCCGCCTCCCGCGCATGACTTGAGGCAACAGTTTACGCGCACCACCACCACTGTGACGTCGAGTCTCTGAGCGCTGACTGGCTCGTCACATGACGTCACGACTGCTGATTGGCTGCTGGGTTTTGGCGCTCGAGCCCGTGACGTCATAGGTTAAATCTAGGCTGTAATTGGCTCCTGCTTCCCGCCAGCTTAGTAACTCTCGTTTTCATTGGCTGTGCCCAGAGCGGTGACATGCACACACCTGGCTGGTAATGGGCTCCTGATCCAAGGATTTGGAGCAATCTCCCCCTAATAAAAACATTAATGTAGAAATAGCCTAGAATAAATTTCAATGTTCCTAACATGTATTATAAATATTAGCGTCAATTTATCGGCGCACATTACTGCGCCTCTATAAAGTGTTACAGGGGCGTTATTCTAAACGACCACGTAAGTGATAGTGACAGCTTACTAGTGGCAAGTTAAACTTTCCACATGTAAGTGGTAGTGACAAGTTACAATTCAAGTGGTGGTGACAATTTACACTAAAACGACCACATGTTAGTGATGTTTCAACCGATCAAAAACTAGCACTTATAAGTGGTAGTGACAATAAATTGACATAAGTGCAAGTGACATTATAATATAAAGTTAGCACTTACCATGAAGGTTGATAACAGTTGCTGTTGAACTTAGGGGTTTCAACAAAATTAATTGGAACAAAAATCAGTAATTCCGCAATTTTATAGAATTACTTTAAAAGATATCTATACTGTTTATATGACCATGTAAAAGCAATAATTAATGAAAATAACGAGTAACTTGGCGATATAAAAGAAAAATGCTTACCAGAGGAGCGAGCACCACCACGTCATCTTCTCCTGCGCATGACTGAGGCGCCAGTTTACGCGGGTTTGTGCAACACCTCCACACTGTGACGTAGAGCATCTAAGCCCTTTCATTGGCTGATGAACCGTGATGTATACATCATCAACAGTAACGTCACAACCCTTGATTGGCTACTAGATCTTGGCGGTCGAGTCTGTGACGTCATAGGTTAAATCTAGGCTTTAATTGGCTGCTGCTTCCCGCCAACTTAGCAATTCTCGTTTCGTTTAGCAGTGGCTCTTGTCCAAGGATTCAGAGCAACATTTCCCGAAGAAAAAAAAAAAGAATGTATACACTCGTAGTGTACTTTACTCCCTAATTTGAGTTATAAGGAATTCTGCCCCTTAGTTTAGAGACGACTTCCAACACTTAATTAATGACCGCTAGGATTCAAACCTAACTGAATTTGAATTATCCAACGATTTATTCACAAACTTCATATTTTTTTGCTGTTGCTCTTTTTGCTGTGGTTGCTGCTGTTGCTATGCTGCTGTGGTTCTTGTTGCTATTTTTGCTGTGGTTGCTGCTGTTGTTATGCTGCTGTGGTTGCTGTTGCTATTGCTGTGGTTTCTGTTGTTATTGATGTGGTTGCTGTTTTTGCTGTGGCTGCTGTTCTTGTTGCTGTTGTTGTTACTGCTGTTCTTGGTGTTGTCATTACTGCTGCTCTTGTTGCTGCTGTTCCTGTTGTTTTTGCTGTTATTGTTACTGCTGCTCTTGTTGCTGCTGGTAATTCTGTTCAAGCTAACAGTACAGCTGCTACAGATGTTACTGTTGTTGCTGTTGCTGCAGGTAGTGAGGTCACTACTGCTGTTCCTGTTGCTGCAGGCAGTGAGGTCACTACTGCTGTTGCTGCAGGCAGAGGTCACTACTGCTGTTGCTGCAGGCAGTGAGGTCACTACTGCTGTTGCTGTTGGCAGTGAGGTCACTACTGCTGTTCCTGTTGCTGCAGGCAGTGAGGTCACTACTGCTGTTGCTGCAGGCAGTAAGGTCACTACTGCTGTTGCTGCAGGCAGTGAGGTCACTACTGCTGTTGCTGCTGGCAGTGAGGTTACTGCTCCTGTTACTTCGCAGTGAGGTCCCCTACTGCTGTTGTCAGGCGGAGGGCATACTGCTGTTGTTGCCCGGGATGAGGTCACTTTTTTTGAGCAGGCGTGAGGGTTTCTACCCGTTTTCGCAGGCAGTCAGGGCAGTACTGCTGTTGCTGCAGGCAGTGGGTCCTACCCCTGTTGCTGCAGGGGGTGAGGGCACTAGCTTTTCTCAGGATGGGTCCTATTTTTGCTGTTGCTCTGGAAATGAATCAACTCTGTTGCTGCAGGCAGTTGGTCATACTGTTATGGCAGGAGGGCACAATGTTGCTGAGGCAGTGACCCACTTTTTGCGTTGCTGCAGGGAGTGAGGTACTACTGCTGTTGTGCAGCAGTGACGTCCTTGCTGTTGGCCCGGCTGAGGTCACAACTGTGTTGCTGCAGGCAGGACGCATAGCTGTTGCTGCAGGCATGAGGGCACTACGCTGTTTCTGCAGCGTGGGTCATACTGCTGTTGCCCGCAGGGGAGTACGTCCACTGTGTTGCTGAGGCGTGATCACAACTGCTGTTTCTGCGGCAGTGCGCACTATGTTGTTTCTGTTGCTGCGGCAATGAGGTTATACTGCTGTTGCTGCAGGCAGTGAGTTTTTTAACTGCTGTTGTGAGGCAAGGGCGTCACTACTGCTGTTCCTGTTGCTGCAGTCAGTGAGGGCACTCTTCTGTTGTGCTGGCGTGGGTAAAAACTGGTTGCTGCAGGCAGTGAGGTACTTGCTGTTGCTGTGGCATGAGGTTTCACTGTGTTGTTGTGGCATGACGTCACTAGCGTTGTCGACAGTGAGGGTTTACTGCGTTGCTGCTGGGAGTGAGGGCATACTGCTGTTGTGCAGGCAGTGAGGTTACTCTGCTGTTTTCTGCAGGCAGTGAGGTTACTCCGCTGTTCTGCGGGTGAGGTCACTATGTGTTGCGCAAGAGTAGGTTACTACGCTGTTGTTGTGGCATGAGGTTACTACTGCTGTTTCTGCTGGCAGTGAGGTCACTCTGCTGTTGTTGCTGGCAGTGAGGTTCTATGCTGTTTTGCTGGAGTGAGGTTTCTACTGCTGTTGTGCGGGAGTGAGGTCACTACTGTGTTGCTGCAGGCAGTGAGGTTACCCTGCTGTTTTTTGCTGGCAGTGAGGTTACTACTGCTGTTCGCAGGGGATGACGTCACTACTGTGTTGCTGCAGGCGTGGGTTACTCCTGCGTTGCTGCAGGCAGTGAGGTTACTCCTGCTGTTTTCTGTGGCAGTGACGTATCTGCGTTGTGCAGGCAGTGATTACCTGCTGTTTTTGCAGGCGTGACGTCACTACTGCTGTTTCGCAGGCGTGAGGTTTTTCTCCTCTGTTGCTGTCGGTACTCACTACGCTGTTGCTGCAGGCGTAGGGGTTTCTACTGTGTTCTGCAGGGAGTGAGTCACTATGGGTGTTGCTGCAGGCATGAGGTTACTCCTGCTTTGCTGCAGGCAGTGGGTTTCTACTGCTGTTGTGCGCAGTACGTCACTACTGCTGTTGCTGCAGGGTTTAGGGCACACTGCTGTTCGCAGGGATGATGTTACTACTGTGTTGCTGCTGGCAGGACTCATTCTGCTTTCTGCAGGCATGAGGGCACAACTGCTTTGCTGCAGGCAGTGACGTCACACTGCGTTTTCTGCACGTGAGGGGCACAACTGCTGTTGCTGCGGCGTGCTCACTATGTGTTCCTTTGTCAGGCGTGAGGTTAAACTCTGTTACTGCGGCATGAGGTCACAAATGCTGTTGCTGCTGGCAGTGGTTAAACCCCCTTTTTGTTTCTGGCAGGGGGTTACTAGCTGTTGTTGCTGGGAGTGAGGTTACCCTGTTTTCTCTGGCCGTGAGGTACTACTGCTGTTGTGGGTGGCGTGAGGTTTACTCCCGCTGTTTGCTGTGGCAGTGAGGTTACTCCCGCTTTGTTTTGGGGGATGAGGGTCACTAATGTGTTGCTGCTGGCAGTGAGGTTACACTGCTGTGCTGAGGCAGTGGGTTAAATCTGTTTTTTTGCTGGGAGTGGTCACTATGCTGTTGCTGCGGGAGTAGGTTCTACTGCTGTTGTTTTGGAGTGACGTCAAACCCGTGTTGTTGTGGCTGAGTTACTATGTGTTTTGTGGGAGTGATCATACTGCTGTTGTTGGGCGTGTGTTAAATTTTCTGTTGTTGCGGCAGTGACGTCATATCGTTTTTGCTGGCAGTGACGTACATCTGTTGCTGCGGCAGTGAGGTTATATGCTTTGTTGTGGCAGTGAGGGCCTACTGCGTTGTGCGGGGAGTGGGTTACTATCGTTGCTGTGGGTGGGTCACTACTGCTGTTGTTGAGGATGGGTTACACTGCTGTTGCTGCAGGCAGGAGGTTCTATCGTTGTTCGGCGGAGGTTCTATGCTGTTGCTGCTGCGGGGGTTACCCGTGTTGTTGTGGCAGTGAGGTTTATATGCGTTGTGCAGGGGTGAGGTTACTACTGCGTTGCTGCAGGCTTTAGGGTTTCCCTTTCTGTTTTTGTGGGGGAGGTTACTACTGCGTTTCTGCGGCAGTGAGGTTACTCCCGCGTTGTTGCTGGGAGTGAGGGACTACTGCTTTTTTTCTGGCGTGAGGTTATCCCGCTGTTGTTGGGGCAGTGGGGCCTACTGTGTTGCTGCTGGATGAGGGTTTCATGCTTTGTTTTGCATGAGGTTATACTGCTGTTGTTTGCAGGGAGTGAGGTTACTACTGCTGTTTCCGGCAGTGACGTACTACTGCTGTTTGGGCGTGAGGGGCCTATGTGTGTTGCTGGCAGGATTTTCTACTGCTGTTTTTGCTGGCGTGGGTTAACTGGTTGTTTGGCGTGAGGTTTTACTGTTTTTGTGCTGGCGTGAGGTTATATGCTGTTGTTGCTGGGGATGGTTTTTTATGCTGTTGTTTTGGCAGTGGGTTACTCTGCGTTTTGCTGGCGTGAGTCACTCTGTTTGCTCTGGGAGGGGGTTATACTGTGTTGCTGCTGGCGTGAGGTTACTACTGCTGTTGCGCTGGGAGTGAGTTTCTACTGCTTTTGCTGGCATGGGTTACTACTGCGTTTTCTGCTGGGGTGAGGGTTTCTATGCGTTGTTGCGGGGAGTGAGGTTACTCGCGTTGTTGTGGGATGAGGTTACTTGCGTTGTTGTGGATGACGTCATACTCTGTTCTGCTGGGATGGGTTCTACTGCTGTTGCCAGGCTGGGGGTACTACTGCTGTTGTTGCTGGGAGTGGGTTATACGCTGTTGCGCTGGGGGGGTTTTTTTGTTTGTTGCGGCAGTGCGTCAACTGCTGTTGCTGTGGCATGGGTTATCTGCGTTCTGCTGGGAGTGAGGTTATATGGTTTTTGGCAGCTGAGGTTACTCCTGCTGTTTTCTGTGGGGGGAAGTTATAGTGTTGCTGCTGGCAGTGGGTTAACTGCGTTGCTCTAGCAGGAGGTTACTACTCGTTTTGCTGGGAGTGAATTTCTACTGCTGTGCTGCTGGGAGGAGGTCATACTGCTGTTGCGGGGGTGGGTTACTGCTGTTGCTGAGGGGTGGGGTTTACTGCTGTGTGCGGGAGTGAAGTTCTATTTCTGTTGCTGCTGGGGGGGAGGTCACTACTGCTGTTTCTGCGGGAGTGGGTTAAACTGCTGTTCTGCTGGGAGGGAAGTTACTACTTGTTGTGCGGGGGTGAGGGCACTATGCTGTTGGTGGGGGGAGGTTACTACTGCTGTTGCTCTGGGGGTAAATTACTACTCTGTTGCGTGGGAGGAGGGGGCACTACGTGTTTCTGCTGGGGGTGAGGGTTTCTACTGCTGTTGCTGCAGGCAGTAGGGTTTTAAAGCTGTTGCTGCTGGGATGAAAGTTTTACGTGTTGTGCTGGGAGTGAGGTTATACTGCGTTGGCTGGCTGAGGTTCACTGTTTGCGAAAAGGGAGTGAGGGGTTTCTACTGCGTTTCTGCAGGGTGAGGTTACTATCTTTTCTGCTGGGGGGTGAGGGCACTACTCTGTTCTGCGGGAGTGGAATTTTTACTGCGTTGCTGCTGGGGGTAAATTTATGCTTTTTGCTGGCGTGAAGTTACTACTGCTGGGCTGTGGGGGTGGGTTTTTCCCGCGTTGTTTCTGGGATGAGGTTTTCTATGCTGTTGCTGCACTTTTGGGGGTTTCTACTGCTGTTGCTGCACATGAGGGGTTTCTTGCTGTTGTTGCTGGCAGGAGTTTTTGCTGTTGTGCTGGCATGAGGTTACTACTGCTGTTGTGCGGCAGTGAGGGGTTTCTATGCTGTTGCGCTGACAGGAGGTTAAATGCGTTGTTGCGGGATGAATTTCTAGTGTTGTTGCGGAGGAAGTTATTGCGTTCGCTGGGAGTGAAGTTTTTAAGCTGTTGTTGCTG